TTACAGCGTTGGCGGGCACAGTCGCACCCTGGCATGTGTGGATGACACCTGCCCCTAGACATGTTGCCCCCGATAACACGAGGACATTGTTCCACGGCTCGCCGAAATTATACACTATGTTCACTGACGAAGGGTTAAACGTCATTCTGCGTGATCTCGCGCAAGTTGCGCATCGGTCTACACTTGAACGGAGAATATTTGCCATGTTCAACATGATCGGTCTGCTGCATTTGAGCACCTACATTTTTGGTGCATCCGCGGGTACACTTCCGCTTCTGCCAGGGCGCTAGGCGGCCATGGCTGGCTTTCGGCCTGGCGCGGACGTCTGGAGGGCTGCGATGGTGAACGCGGCAGCCTACCCAATGGATTCTGATGATATTCGGCGGGCAGATATTGCCTGCAAGGCGGAGATTGAGATTGAGTGTGCAATAGGGACGTCGACCTTGTGCGCTGGTGACAGCGTCGACTTCAAGGTGTTCAGCGCTGTAACGCAGAAGATCGATGACCTCAGCCGCGACATGCCTCGCACGCTGTCGTTCGTAGAGATATTCGCTGGCCAATCAGGGGCTAGCAGGAAGCTACGAGACGCAGGTGTTCGAGCGGTTGCAGTAGAGCGCACATCGCAGAGGGTGTGGGACGATGTGACGAGGGTGTCTGGTTTCATATACGTTGCACTGTCGATCTCGATGCTGCACATTGGTGCTACTGCGTGGTTCTCACCGCAATGTTCGACATGGGTTAACTGCGCACGAGGGCATACAAAGCGGCCAACGTCTTCTGCATGGGGCGACACCGACAGGGACGACGTGCGCGAGGCCAACTGCCTGGCCGTCATATTGTTGGGGGGGGGGCTTCGAGAACAGCAGGGAGAGGACGTGTGGCCAAGTCGGCCCAGCAGACACGGATGGACCGTCATTGTGGAGCGTGGCACTCGGCATGGATAGTGTGAGGGTTTCACGCTCACTCCCCTTCCTCCTTGCCTTCAGCGTCCTATCCATCCCCTTCGGGCTCGCTCTGATCACCGTCTGCCAACTTGCTCCACAACATCGGCCCATCCATGTCTCGCCATACGGGTTGTCGGGAGGTCGTGGCTCATGACGCTGTGTACATTGAGGGGTGCGTTCTTCTGCATCGAGCAACCGATCTCGTCGCTGCTCTTCCATTTCGTGCCGATGATGGAATCCATTCGGATCAACAAGGCCACCCGTCGTGTGACATATGGGGGCGCATTCGGCGCAGGCAGTCGGAAGCCGTACGAGATCTGGTCCACTTGGCCTGACGCATTGTGGAAGCACTTGCATGCAACCCGAGATCATGCTGACAAGTGCCTGCAGGATGCGATCAGTGTCAATTTTGGTTTGCTTAGCCAGCGCGTACAATCACATGGTCGTGCGATTCGTCGGACCGTGGAGCTCTACAGAACGGCACGTGCACGCGCGCTGGAGAGGCATGTTCGGGCCGAGGCACGTGACCATGTGATTTTGTGCCAGCTAAGCAAACCATCAAACCGATGGTTTAGACCATCGGCTTGATGGCGACTGCCAATCAACATTCATGTGGTCGTCCGTTCGATTGCCACCGCATTGGCAGATTAGATGAGTTTCGTCGGAAACGTGCACCCGTGTCGTCGTTTATCTCACTTATGCGTGTATGCGTATGTGTTGTAGTGCCTCCCCAGAGGACGGGCGCGAGACCACGCCTTTGCACAAGGTGACGCCCAAGAGCGACACCAAGTCCGCTGACGAGGCTGGGGCTGGATGGTTGAAGTCAGGATGGGTGTCTGGATCCAAGCACCAGAGGGGCTCCTCCGCTTACAAAGACGAACTTGTGGCTGCGATTTGTGCTGCTGTCGTCGATGGCCTCGACTACGTGCACGAGGTCAGAGCTGGCTTCAACAATGATTAGGTTACACCATGCAGATGCTGGCCGCTTGCTTCCCTTTGCCGCAATCGTCTCTGCACTTGCTCGCAATTCACATTCACAGGGTGTGCACACATTGCAGCGCTGGTTGAGCGCTGCTGGCCGCGATGCGGACCTCTTTCAAGCAGTCACGCACAATGGCCCTGGTGATGTTTCAAGTCCAGATTGCAGCGTGCGGTGTGAGCGCTGGCCCGTTTATGATTGGTGTTCACGATGACTCGGTGTCGATCGGGTGGGCGCAATTGGGGCAATGTAGTTAGCCATGAACACACGTGGGTACACTTAGCCAACACGTGTACTATACCAATACACGGCCAGTGTAATGCCAATCATGCAAGGCGGGCAATGCAAAGTCAATGCAAGGTCAATGCAAGGTCAATGCAAAGTCAACGCAAAGTCAACGCAAAGTCAACGCAAAATCAATGCAACGCCACTGCAACCGCACCCGCAATACCGATGCAATATCAGTGTGTAGGTTCGTCACACAGCTTATACCTAACATCACATACGCTCACATGAGGAGGGAGGAGGAGGTATGACACGGATAGGGGGGTCAGGGGTCGATATGGAGGGAGGTCAGGGGGTGACAGATGGGCGAGTTGGGGCATGGACCCTAATTTCTGGAGAAGGGAGGGGGTGCGCGCGTTTGGCGCAGGCCACCCCCCCCAAGGGGGACGCTGCACTCTCGTTTGCAGTCTGGCGACCGTCCTGCTGCGGTCGCCCAACCACCCCTCACCGAAGCGGACGAGGGCGGATGAGATGGCGTGGGGGGGGCATGCGATGGGGTGATGGAAGACACTAACGATTAGGATGTGCGGGAGCGGGACACGTGACGATTGAGGGGGGGGGGCGAGGACATGGATGACGGGGGAGGCGGATGAGGGGGGTGTCCACCACACCCTTCATCCGCCTCCTTATGCCCGCCTCCTGTTCCGCATCTCGGGTTCCGCGCTCCTCTCCCTCAATTTCCACACTGTACCCGCGTGCATACCCCCTTACCAAGGCCCCTCCGCCTCCACCACCCATCTCGTCCGCAAGTCCCTCACCTGGTCCGCTTCGGGAGGCGGCCGCATCGCCACCGCGCGGCGTGCGAGCGATGCACAGCTCAGCAAGTGCAAGGCCAATGCAATTTCAGTGTGCGGCCCATGCAATGTCAATGCAAGGTCAATGCGGCTTCTGATGCTGTCGCTCAGTCATCCCTGGTGCGCTCGGGCGCCCGAGGGAGACACGGCGGAGAGATGAGAGCGATGCCCAGACGCCCCAGACTGCCCGCGTTCGCGGCGTCGTGGTCGCCTCGCAGGGCGACGCCCTCCGCCGAGCTCGATCGTGGGTCTACGCTTCCCCCATCCACTTCCCTTCCCCGTCTCTACCTCCTCGAGCTTCCAAACCTCATCACCTGCAATTCCCGAAAGCGTGTGATGCCTCACGCCCACAATGCGTGAACCAACCGAGTTAGAAGCCCAATTCAACCGAGACAGTGTAGATACGAGGCGGCGGGTTCGCGCGGAGCGCAATGATCGCATCGGCGCGCACGGGGCGTGCCAGGTACCAGCCTCCTCCTCATGTTAAGCTTCCTCCACCTCCTCCTCCTCCTCCTCCTCCTCGTCCTCCTCCTCCGCCTCCCCCTCCTTCTCCTCCTCCTCCTCCTCCCCATCCACCCCTTCCTCCTCATCCTTCCCCCTCCTCCTCATCCTCCTCCTCCTCCTCCCCCCCCTCCTCCTCCTCCTCCTCCTCCTCCTCCTCCTCCTCCTCCCCTCCTCCTCCCCGCTTCCTCCTCCTCCACCTCCTCCTCCTCCTCCTCCTCCTCCTCCTCCTCCCCCTCCTGCTCCTCCGATACTCCGCCTCCTCCTCCTCCTCCTCCTCCTCCTCCCTCCTCCCTCCTCCTCCCTCATCCCTCATCCCTTCTCCTCCTCCTCCTCCTCCTCCTCCTCCTCCTCATCCTCCTTGTTCTCCAACTACCGATCCTCGTACCCACCCTCTCCCTCATGCCCGTCCTCCTCTCACCCCTCCTCCATCACAACTCTTGTCGGTGGCGGTCCTGCTCTGTATGAGGCTGCGGCCCCTGCCCATCGTGTGCAAACACGACAGGGATGTTGCGATCGACCATTTTGTATATGTATACGTTGCACAGACGGTACGACGCTGAAAACTTGCAGCGCCGCCCCCGCATCTGATCGATTCGACCCCCTCTTCCCCCAGTCCTCTCCATGAGCGGCGGGCGGGGAATCGGATTAGATGTGGAGGTGGCGCTGTAAATTTTCAATGTTCCCACGGGTGGCGAATGCTAAAGTAACGTTGGATATCACGTGAGTGAGCCACGCGTCGGCCCCATGAATGGTGCAACTTTTTTCGTGGACCGTCGCGAATTTCAGCGGCGCACCTGGCATAACTTTAGATCGAGATGAGGCCGCCCGAAAAAATCCTGTCGATGATGACGAGATCGATTGGGCTGTCGAATTTCTTGGGTGATAACATATCCTCCATTAACTTCTGTCCGTGCTCCTAAAGTTGAGTCATGTGTCGGCTCCCTCGAAATTGCAGTTGTTGACAAATATATGTAGCGCTGGGCGCTGGTATCCGACTGCACCCCGATGTATACTGTGAAAGTATAGCTGCGTAGGTACGGGCCGAGGAGGAGGACCAACAATCAATGAGGAGGGGCCCTCCAAACGAGAGGGAGGGGGAGAAGGATGACGGAGGTGGAGGACGGGCGGCGAGAGGGGAACAGCAGGAAAACAACACAAAATGATGTGATATAAGGAAAGAAACAACATATGGATCAAACCAAGAATCCCGTTGCCATTTTGGCTCAAGCCCTGAACTCAATCCACGCGGCCCAAGCCGCGTGGACGTACGCGCACGCGCGCCTATCGTGAAATAGCGCGGTGGTTGCGCTAGTCTTAGCAACGATTTACGCTGATCAGTCGAGTCGGCATCGTCTTTACAATGAATTTCGTTGCACCTGTTACCATATGTGCACCGTTCTGCGGTTCGGCGTTTATTTCGCTGGCCTTTCTTTTTAAATGCCAAGACTTGGCGTTTAAAACAAATGCCAACGCACCTCAGGGATAGATGAGCGGCGCAGAAGAAAAACGGGCTTGAGTGCGCCGACACTCGCGCGTAGGCTGCCCGCGCAAGGTCGCGCGTCAGCGCGCCCTCGTTTCCAATGCGGCATACTGCGCCGGCGGCCCGCGTAATCCACCGCGGGTTGCTATGGCGTCGTGCGCAAGACCCATCTCGCTTCGTCGCTCAGTTGGCGACCCCCCTGGCGGCGACCCCACCCTGGCACCGCCTGGCGATCGGCCACCGTGGCTGCAACATGCGGCGCATCTCCGTCGCCACGGGCGCGAAGCTCAGGATCCGGGGGCGGGGCAGCGGCTTCCTGGAGGGGAAGGACCAGCAGGAGGCCCCGGTGCCGCTGATGGTGGCCGTCACCGCGGACCGCGAGGACGCGGCGGACTTCGTGAGGGCGGTGGAGATGACGCTGCAGTACCTGCACAGCCTGGAGGAGCCCTTCCACTCGTTCTGCCGCCGCCACGGGTTCCGGCACCGGGGCCCCTTCGTCAGCCTCGACGGGGAGGCGCGGGAGCTGCTCGCCGAGGCGCTGACGGAGGCGCCCTGGGCGGGCAAGTACTTCCAGGGGCAGGCGCAGCTCCAGGCGTGAGGCGCCAGGCGCGGGGCTCCCGGGGGCGCCTGGGTGCCCTGGAAGCCGAGGGGATACGACGTTGTGTCCGCATCTTCGGAACATTGTCTACTCCCGCGGGCGCGTGGGGCTCCCGCGGGCGCATGCGAGGGCCAGCGCGAGCCGCGCCTGGCCCAGACTCCGACGGCCGGGCGGCCGGGATGCCGCTCGGCGAGCGGTGCCGCAGGCTGGCCGCAGGTTGGGGGAGCTGCCTGGCCTCGACCGCACGTATACGAGTGACCTCTCGCCGGAGTGACCTTCTCTGCAGACGGCATCTGTGCACCACCGCCGTGCCTGGCCAGGGCCATCCTGGGCCCCTTTTATGGTGTGTACGCCCTCCTGGCATCGGCCAGGAGGGCGTGCACACCATGCCAGGGCCGAGGCTGGCCCTGGCAAGCCACGGTGGTGGTGTATGGATGCCTTCTGCGCAACCGGTAGGTGCAGGCTCTCCAGGATCCCCCGATCGCCGAGGGCGATGCGACAGACAGCAGCGTCTTGCGCGCCTGGGTTTGGCCTTCCCGCGCCCCCCCCCCCCCGAAGCCGCGCACCGAAGAGCACTCTTGCCTGGGGTCGCTCCTGCGTGTCTTGCCGGACCTCACGCGCGGCGGACGCCCGTCCACAGCCACGTGCCCCCGCGGTCTGGGCCGCGGGGCGCGAGAGGTCCCGTGGTCAAGGCGCGAGTCTGTGGGCGTGCGTCGTGCCGCGAGCGAGCGGCGCCCGCGCAGGGCCGCCCCGGTGTTCCTCTTGCGGGGGGGGGCGGGGAGCGCCGAGGCGCCGCCACGCTGTCCGCCACGATTTTCCCCGAACCCCGCAAGCGACAAAAAGTTGGAGCGGCGGGATGCGGGCCGTGGTCGGCCTCCAGGGGCCCTCGCCGGGCCCCGGGACCGCTGAAGGCGACGCGGGACGACAGCCCGGCCCTGGGGAGGCGGTCCAGAATTCCGGGGGCCCCCGTAGCGAGACAGTTGGAGCGGCCGGATGTCTGGATGTCTGTCCCCCGCCCACGATTGCGCCCCCCCCCCCGCCGCCCCCCCCCCCCCTCTTGAGGTTCCCAGCGGCCTCGATCCTGCTCTCGGCAGGTCAGCGAGGGGCTACCCAAGAGGGGGGGGCGTCGCCAGCGCAGCTGCCCCAAGTGCTGGCCGGTCGGCGGCATACCTGCGCAGCTCCTCCCGGTCCCTCCGAGTCCATTTCTGTCCCCCTCGTCTCCTCCCCGGCAGAGTCAATTTCGATCCGATTCGATATCGATGTTGGCGGCCCCGACTCGCTCCGGCTCCGATGTTCCGACGATCCGATGTGGCCCGGTGTTTGCACGGCGGCCGATCGGATTCGATTTCCACATTATGCACATGACGGGTTTCCGTTTCACTGGTCCTGCCTGCACTCTCCGGTATTTTTCCTGGCCAGCTCGGAACATTTTCTTATCCCCATGTTTAAGACATCACCTCGCCTCGGTGCCGATCTTCAGGAGCCCACGCAGTTTCTGAGGGCACATCCCTAAGATTGTCATCGTGTTTGGCTTGCCGATCTCAGGGATGTCGGCGACGAGCCCGGAGGGAAGTCTGAGAAGTTTTCTGAGCCTTCCCCGATGACACAGAAAAATTGCCTCAGAGGGCGCGAGGCCGCCTGAGAAGTCCCGCCGCCTTCTGAGAAGGCATGGCTGAGTCCGCTCGCTGCCGGCTGATCCCCCCCCTAGCCCGCTCGCCGCCGGCTGATCCCCGACGTCGCAGAAGTGAAGAGCCTCGTGGGTTATCACGGCGGGACCCCCCCCCCCAGCACCCCACCTCTCGGCGGCATTTGTTCGAGCTGCATCGACCTGCCAGGGCCCGGGGGCCCCGAAGCTCTCGGCCGAGACGGCCGGCGCGCCAAGGACTGCGACGCCAAAAGTTCTCGCCGCCGAGGACGGGGATGCGCTCGAGGCTGGTCAGGGGCTGTGGACGACGATCACTGGAGAGGAAGCATGTTGCCAGGTCACTTCCAGAGATGCCTCAGACCACGTCTCGAACAGGTCTTCCACATGCACAAGACATGTTCCAAAACACTCTCGGAGCATCCTCAAACATTTTCTGGATGCATCTCTGATCCGGTGGTGCGCCTCAGGGGGCCCAGTGTCGTGGCCTCCGCGAGTCCAGGGGCAGGCCTCCTGGGGCGAGGGCCGGCTGGCCCCCGAGGGCGCCCACGGGCGCCGCGCGCCGCTCGGCGCCACGGAGGGCCTCCGGGATGCCCGCCGCGGGTGCTCGGAGGCCCGCCGCGGGAGCTCGGGGAGGGGCAGCCGCACAGAGGCGTTTAAGGCGGGCGTGTCTTTCGACGGGAAGACTCAACAGCAGTCAGAAGATAGTCTGGGGACGCGTTTTCGACCGTTTTGGGTGTCTGGCTCATTCCCCACATGCTTCGTGGGGTTCTGGTTTTCTTCCCTGCCGCGCCGCACCCGCGACACGCCTCGCCCTTCGTACAGCACAGCTCAGCACAGCACAGCTCAGCACAGCACAGCACAGCACAGCTCAGCTCGGCACAGCACACAGCTCAGCTCAGCTCAGCACACAGCACAGCTCAGCACAGCTCAGCACAGCCCAGCACGGCTCAGCTCAGCACAGCACAGCACAGCTCGTGGCACTGGCGCAAAGCCTAGCAGGCGTGGCACTTTCTCGACACCACAGGGGGGTGCGCAGGGGGTGGTCTCTCAGTTCGGCCGCTATCCACGACACTGGCGCAAAGCCTAGCAGGCGTGGCACTTTCTCGACACCACAGGGGGTGCGCAGGGGGTGGTCTCTCAGTTCGGCCGCTATCCACGACACTGGCGCAAAGCCTAGCAGGCGTGGCACTTTCTCGACACCACAGGGGGTGCGCAGGGGGTGGTCTCTCAGTTCGGCCGCTATCCACGACACTGGCGCAAAGCCTAGCAGGCGTGGCACTTTCTCGACACCACAGGGGGTGCGCAGGGGGTGGTCTCTCGGTCCACGACACTGCGCAAAGCCTAGCAGGCGTGGCACTTTCTCGACGACACTGGCGGCCGCTATCCACGACACTGGCGCAAAGCCTAGCAGGCGTGGCACTTTCTCGACACCACAGGGGGTGCGCAGGGGGTGGTCTCTCAGCTCGGTCGCTCAGAGGTCTCAGAACGCAGGATTGTGCATATATAATATACATAAGCAAACACATAAGATTTAAATTAAGTATGTGGGGTTCCTCGGTAGCGTAATTTGTTATGTTTCGTCCCAAATCCGCCTGTATCAAACAGTGGCGAAGCGTCTCAGCTCGCCTATAGGCCTACCAAAGAATGTTCTAAGAACCTTTTGTGATCTGCACGAAATGTTCTTAGAACATTTCTGGCTGGGTCTGTCGTGTTTTAACACATCGGGCTTATGTTCTAAGAACATTGTGTTTGTTCTTAGAACATCTTTGGGGTTCTACGAACATTTCGTGGTAGGCCTGTAGGAATGCCGGGACGGTCGGTCCCTGCTCAATTGTAGGGGGAGATGCCCAGACTAACACAAGCGCAAAGAGTCGTCGATGCCCCGGAAAGTATGGGAAGTGTGTGTGTGGGGGTGGCAAGACGAAGCTCAAGAAAGTAGATGAGAACCCAGCTGTGGAACCCTGGGCTTTGGCCAGACCTCCTCCGGCCGCTCCATTTTTGTTTCGATGCGTGGGCCCCAGAGGTCTGGACCACCTCCCCAGGGCCGGTTTGTCGTCCTGCGTCGTTTTTCAGCGGTCCCGAGGCCCAGCGATGGCCCCTTGACGCCGAACACGGCCCACATCCCGCCGCTCCAACTTTTTTCGCTTGAGCGTCTGATCTCTGGCTTCACATCCACGGCCGGGGGAAAATCATGGTGTGTTGGGCAAGGGTTAAGTCGGGCCTGTCCCTCTACAGGAGGAAGGTTCAAAAATAGTCAAAAATAGTCTGGGTATGAATTTTTACGTTTTTTTTTTTCGTAAATAGAAACTGCATACTTTTGATGATTTGTGTTTTTTCGTCCAAAGTCCGCCTGTAGCATTGAGTATTTTTCCTTTTCGTCCAACATCCGCCTGCAGGAGGACATGCCCGACCTAAGGGTAAGGGCGGCCTGGCCTTGGCAGGGCCGACCTCTGCGAGTCAGCCTCGGCTGGCCGGGCTCCGGCCTCTCGGCCTCTCCCAGGGGCGCCCGGCCCCCCAGGCGGGCCTCTGGGCCCCCCTCCGCCATGGCTGGCGTTTTGTTGCTGCTGCTACTGTTGATGATAATGTTGGTGTTGTTGTTGCTGCTGCTGCTGTTGTTGTCATTGTCGTTGTCGTTGTTGTTGTTGTTGTTGTTGTTGTTGTTGTTGTTGTTGTTGTTGTTGTTGTTGTTGTTGTGGTTGTGGTTGTGGTTGTGGTTGTTGTTGTTCATTGTGCTGTGATTATTGGTGTTGGTGTTGCTGCTGCTGCAGCTGTTGTTGCTGGTGGTTGTTTGTGCTGCTGTTGTTGCAGCTGTTGCCGTTGCTGGTGCTGTTTGTGTTGTTGGTGCTGGCGTAGATGTTGTTGTTGTTGTTGTTGTTGTTGTTGTTGTTGTTGTTGTTGTGTTTGCTGCGGTTGTTGGTGTTGTGATTGCTGTTGTCGTTGTTGTTGTTGTTGCTGTTGTTGTTGTTGTGGGGGTTGTCGTGGCTGTTGTTGTGGTTGGAGTTGGTGTGGTTGTTGTTGTTGTTGGACTCGTGTTCTCGCGTGCTCTCGCGTTGGATTTCCTCGAAGTTCATTCAGAAGCAGCGCCCTCGACACTCAGGAATCACGATCTCGCGATGGATTTCGTCACGATTTACTTGGAAATCGCGTTGTCGCTCGAGACTTCCTCGCGATTCATGCAGGACGCACGCTCCAGCAACCCGCCTGCTCGACATGGCCGCCTCGGCCTGCCTTCCCGACCCGCCCGCGATGGTCTACCCGCCCGATCTGCCCGTCTGGTTTTGCCACGTGTGCTCTGCTCCTAGCCCCCCTCCTGTTATTCTCTCTGGTGTTCCATCCTTCTCCCTCCCCCTTGTCCCTTGCTTCTATCCGTCCTCTCTTCCTCTGCCGTAGTGGCTGCATGAACTACACGTTGCAGGTAAGAGAGATATACCCCCAAGGGGGTACGGCCGAAGACGACGAGGGTGCTTGATATACGTGTCGAAAGGTACGCGAGCAGATCAGAGCGACCAGTCTGAACATGCTGCTGTTGGTGTTGTTGTTGGTGTTGTTGTTGGTGTTTGTGTTGGTGCTGGTGCTGTTGTTGTTGTTGTTGTTGCTGCTGTGGTTGTTGTTGCGGCTGCTACTATCATTGTTGTTGCTGTTGTTGCTATTGTTGCTGTTTCTGTAGTTGCTTATAAT